TGAAACCATCAATTTCTGCTAATGCAGAATTTCTGTCTGAAAAAAGATAGGATCTAGCAAGACTTGTATTTGCTATAATTTGAAACACAACTTTTTAAAATTTATCTTCTGTGCTGAAGTCAAAACCATATCTTAAAATTTTTTATCACTTCCACAAACCTTTTTTGCTTTGTATATGAAGGCTGAAGTTCTCCAATAATGAACTGCTACTGTTTGGCTGGACTTCAGAAAGAAGGAAAAATGTCAGGATGTACAATCATGTGAGTTGGTAAGGGTGAATCAAAATGCAGCACCCGAATCTGAAGATTGTATTTTGATCTGCTATGAACCTCTCCTGTTAAAATTTAAAATACCCTTTTCCCCAGACCTCCTCTAAAATAGAACAAACTATGTGGAAAAAAACCACGTTCTGGCTGTGGCTTAAATAACAGAAGTCAGAAGACCCGAGGGGTAAGGCTTGCACTTGATTCTTATTCCTTTCAGTTTCTCTGCATATACTCAGGTGAAGATCAGTCTTAGTTTTGGAATTCTTGTCTTGTCGCACTTTGCATCACAATTACCGTGTTTTGCTTGAAATGCTTCATTTGATCTGAGATTGGCTCAAAGCAGCAGATCTGAAAGTGTAACTGAGCTTGCTTTCTCTCCTGCAGCAATCCAAGAGAATCAGGTGATAGGGGATGCCTGGATGGTGTTAGTTCATTTGCATGTGAACAAGATAACTTCAGTTTATTCCCCCCCTACATACTGCAAAAAAGGTAAGTTGCGGTCTCTGAGGTAATGGGGTTAGCAGTATGCTGTGAAAGAAAATTGTTACCTAGCTCAAACTTATTGTTGTATCCACTGCAGTGATCTTGCTTGATAAACTAACACCTAACTAGAAAATATATGGCAAATCTTAATATTATTCAGGTGCTTTCGAAACTCTTCCTATAAGTTCCTTGGGAAGCAAGTGGAGCTTGCCTTGAAATGGAAGACAGGGTTTCCAAATCACTTTGAGGGCTTTTCTGCTAGCTGTAGGGATGGAGGAGAGTATTTGTCTTGTTCCCTGTGGCAGGAGAGAATTTCATTTTTGCTGGCACCTTCAACTATTCTGCTTTTCCACTCAATATTTTTGAAATGTGTTTTAGTCGGGGCAAGACAGGGTGGTCAGAAATCAGACACAGCCCGACAGATGGCAGGCGAGATTTCCAAAAGCACCTGAAGGACACTCGGGGGGAAAAAAACTCTTCTCTGATCTCAGCTACAAGAAGGAGAGTCCAAGCAATTCACGTGGGCTGCTTGTTACGCTGATCCCAATCCAGGGGAGACTTATGCCACTGGAGCTCTACTGAGCTGGAGGCAGTTACTTGGGACTTGCACTGATGTGAATCTGGGCCAACGTGCCTACAAATTGGCTCTGATCTCTTGTCTTTCAAGTAAGAACAGAACTATCTTGTGATTTTTACAGAGAACTTGAAAATGAAAAATCCTGCATAGCTTGGTTGCTTATAGCAGAGCTTCCCAGCTGTGATGAGCGGCTTTGGGAGCTTCCATTTTGGGGTGCCAGACCTGGGGCACCTAAACAAGGCCTGAAGTGCTCTGAGCACTTCTCTTCTGAAAATCAAGCAGTTTGTTTTAAGCCTCTGAAAATGTAGGCACTTAGCTTTCTTTGAATATCTTGGCCCTGGGGACTTACAAAGCCACAGACCACTGATTTTTTTTTTTTTTTTTTTATGGTACAGTGGGACTGTTATGAATTTCATTTCTTGTGTTTTTCACTTGTAAACAGTAAGAAAAAGCTCCTCATGTTAACGAGCACTTTGCTTTCCTTGTCTTACTCCCTATCTGTGTAGGATATAGCGTAAATGAATATGAAACAAAAGGCAGTCTGCCTTTCTCTAAACAGCTATGCCAAGTCTCAGATCATGTTAAGGTAGCTCGAGTTGAGTACCTCCCCCTTCCCCCGCCACCAGTATTTGAACTGTTCTTGTCTGAATGAATTTTCTGCCGTCATGGTTTTACATTCCTGATTTCTCTGATATACATCCTTCCTCCAGAGCCCCTGCCCAAACTTTCTTTCCTGAAGGGACAATACAATTGCAAGTCATGTACTAGCAGGCAAGTTTTAAGCTCAGGCAATGTGGTTGCATCTCCATGAAACCATTGGTCTCTGCTCTCCTTTTCCCACTCTTCTATGGTTGGTTTCTTTTTCCTTATTGATTCCTTGTTTCTTAGTGATTCTGCCTCTTCTGAAGGTCTTTATGTTAAGTGAAGCACATACTTAAGATCTGTCCAAACCACAGCAGGCTTGTTTGTATGTTGACAGGTTTTTCTGAACTGAGGCTTCTCTCAGGAATACCTGATATATTTTATGGCCTTAAAGAGTCAATAGTTCATCACCTCTTTTTAGCACATTGGCAGTGAGACAAATAGCTTGGACGTTTTTTCCTGGTTTTGGCAGAGGAAAGTTCCTCCATGATGGTGGAGGCATTGAAAAGGAAGGTGGTTCTTACACTGGAGGGATAACCTTCCTAACCTCAGAAAGTATGAGGTGGGCTTAATCAATTTTGATACTAAAACATGGATGAAAAAAAGGGAAGACAGCAGGGTCAAATCTATAGCAGTAGTCAATGGGGCATCCTTGCTGTGGAGGTGATGAAGGAAAGTAGATTTTTGCCTATTGTTCCCCCATATAGCATTTCATTCTTAATATGGAGCTGCCACATGAGATCTGTGTATGTACTGCAGATCCCTGACAAACAGAATCCGGTTCATGATGTGGTTATGCAGCTGTTTTCACCTGGCAAAAGATGCTGCTCTGCCAAAAGGCATGGTCCTTTTTCTGCTCACTCCTGTCCCCCTGTGTTCATGAATGGCCTCATGGTGAAAGGAAAGGGTTAGTTTTTAGCTGGATCCATCTGCCTCATTGTGCAGCCATATTGAAACTCAGGCGGTGGAAGGGGGTAGTTAGGAATTAGCAGTTAGGGTGCTGAAACTGGCAGTGTGAATTGGTTCTGGTTCAAACACATGTATACCCAGGGCCCAAAGTAACTTTCTGATGTTGGTAGAGAGTAAAATGGAGTGCAGAATTTGCCCTTCAGCATAGCCATAACAAAGGGTAGTGCTTGTAACCTTCCAAATGCTATGTATGACATTCGTGACAGTATAAAGCTAACATAATGTGAAATGTGACTTCGGAAGAAAGCTGGCTTCTGAATTGCATGTGTGAGCGCACATGTGTTTGTATATTAAGATGACCTTTCTGGTACAAGGTATAGGTCTTTGCAGTCCATTCACTTATAAGCATGCCTTTGCTTTCTGTACGTCTCCTTTCCCATGTGTATCTCCAGCCTGGATCACTACAGGCTAGACCCAAGCAAATAGAGGAATAGCTAACAAAAACATTTCCCAGTTCCCTGGTTTTTTTGTTTGTTTGTTTGCAAAGAGTGAGATTGGTGTCTCTCAAACTCCTTCTATGAATCAGAATGATTGTCAGGTATCTTCTTGTAGGAAAAATGGTTATGTCTTTCCTAAAGCACATTAAAGTTACCAGGGAACATTGTTGCCTTGCTTCTCCTAGCTCTGCACACTTGTAAAGCTCATGTCAAAGCAGTGAGCTCCTCTACACCCAGTCTGTCTTCCACCCTATCTCTGTCTGTCTCTTTCAATCATCTGGATTCAGGCCTTTCCCATGTGTTTCTCATCCAAGTCTCCAATAAGGTCTCCACATCACAGAGGGTACTCAAACCCATTGCCCTCTCTTCTCTGTCTTTTATTATGTGCACGATGGTTCAACCTGGTGCTATAATGACCTGTGCAGGAAATATTTTTATGTGATACTGGCGTCAATTTAGACTAACCTCAAACCACTGTATACAAAGAAGTCCCGATTGTTACTGTCAGTGGTTAGAAAAGGTCACCTAAATCCTTTACAGCAGTATATGTCCAGCTGCAAAAAAAAGTCTGTATATCTCTTTTTCTCTTGCTCTGAGCTAATTAAAGCTTTGATCACCTGGGTATCAAAAGATGCCTCACCATTTTAGTTCTCGAAGAATAATAATGTGCATGCTTCTCCCACAGCTTGTGACTTTATTAGGCATTTTTATGTCTGGCTAATGAGGAAGATGATTCTTTTTTAAGACTATAGTATAGGTTATAGGGAATATGTGATAGTTACAAAGGTCTGTAGTCAGTTAGGAGACAGCATATGGAACATTTCACCTTATTTTAGCTGTTGTCCATTGAAATTTTACTAAAAGATGTTTTTCTCTTGCAGCCATTTATTTTTCCTGGTGATGTCCTTTTCATTTATTTGGGGAGGGGCAGCACTTTGGGACCTGTGCTAGGGCTTCTAGTGACTGTGTACTCTCCAAACACAGAATAAAAAGACTAGGGCTTTCCACAGACTTTGGTCTTCCCACTTTACTACTTTTAGTACAAGTATGCTTGTAGCAGTCACAGGCTGTCCCACTAGCTAATGTGCGGACCCCAGATCACATGTTGGAGACCACTCAAAAGCACACTGAGAACAGACTGTCAATTTGCCTAGACCATGTGCTGTTAGGAGAACAAGTGATGCTGTACATTGTCCCTTACTGAAATGTAAAGTGTTTGTTTCAGAGCGTGAGGACTGTCTTCATTGCTGTGGGTGTGATTTCTCTAGCAGGTTTTGTTGTCTTCCAACAGGCAGAGCTAGTGTCTGGCCTGTGATGCAACCCCTACAACAGTGCTCAGAGACCAACCTGAAGAAAAGTGTTGCAAGGGTGTGTAAGCAAGCACGCCTCCAAGGAGGGGCGGGAGGAGGTGGGGCTGCACAACAGACTTTTAATGGCAGAATAAATGGGAGGGTGTAGGGCAGCGCTGTACAGTCAGTCCAGCACACCCGTTGTGTCTCTGTTCTCTTCCCCTGTGATCTGCAAGAGTGTATTGTCTGCACCAAATTTTGAAGAAATACATACAAGCAGATTTTTGTTTTGTCTTGTTTTCTTTAAACTTTAGTTTACCCATCAGCAACTTTGAAGATGACAAGAATTTTGACAGCTTGCAAAGTGGTGAAGACTTTGAAAGGCAGATTGGAGTTTTGCAATGTGTCTGCTGATCACTGGAGTTTCGCAAGGACTGGTACCAGGTTGTTGAGCATCAAGGTAACAGTAACTGAGCTACTGTGGTTTAATAGATGTGTTTGGCATGCTGAGAGATAGCTTGCTGCAGATAACAGGGCTTACCTAGACACATAAAACTGAACCAAAGGAGATTGGTCTGAACCCTAAGCAAGGGGGTTGCTTGGCTAAATGGTTTTATTAGCTAAGCAAACACACTTTTTGTGCAGTCTGGAATGGAAATTATAGGGTAAATTGCACCAAAAGGTGGAAGTTCAGGGTTTCAGTTAATTATTATACGGTATTTTCTTTAGAAACACTCCACCCTTCTATAGGACTGATAGCTAACAGAGCAGATCTTTCAGTCCCTATGAGCATGAATCAGCTAGATATTTAAAAATATGCATCACTTGAAGCATGCGATTAATCCTATTGGATCCACAAAGGATCCATTTTCAATGTATTGGAAACCATGATGGCTCTGAGATTACTCGGGGACATAGACAACTCTTTGTGAATGCATCAGTGTATCAGCTCTTGATTTACTGGGGCTGGAACCCCTTAGTTCACTTCCCTAACTTTCTTCTGCTCTTTGTTACAAGAGCTGTATTTGACCAGCTTTGTTAGTGTAACTCAGGCAGGTGTGGCAGAGTACAGTGGTGGCAGAGTACAGTGGTGAAATTGGACTTTCTGTGTGAATTCTGTAGCACTGGCAGTGTTTTGTCATCATGCACTTTGCATTGAAAAGGCGCTCTTGCACGTGTATCCTGTTGAATCAACAGTGTAATAGAATTAGCAACTGGAGGAATGATGTTTCAGTGGGTGGTGGGGAAGAGCTCTTAGAGACTTGGGCTGCGGGAATGCAGTGGATGCCGCCTTACCTGGCAGGGTGGAGTAGAGGGCTGATCAGTATCGTTTCTGTCCACCGAGGACTAGGGTTTCTCTTACCTGTCCCACAGCCACTGATTTTTTCAGGAGTTCTCTGAGCTCCTGGCAACAGACCCATTACTTTAAAAAAAAAAAAAAAATTGGCTGCAGAGAAAAACTGGATGACGAAAGAGGCATCCCTATTTTCATCCCTTCCTTCAGCATGTGAGTTCTCAGTTTAGCTTTGTCTCACCTGCACTTAAAAACAGAGCCTGTGTTGTGACTGGTGTTCTTGCTAATGGACCTGTCTTCCCCTTCCCGAGAATGCACAGCAGACATGAACTGTTACCTTGTTCACTGTCTTAAAACACAGCACAGTAATTCTCATCCCAGCAGATTGATCCCGACTCTGCAATCAGATCTGGCTTAGGAGGAAGTTATTCCTCCTTGTGATGACAACAGGAGTCCTACCTATGAATTAGAAAGCCATCATGGTTACCAGTTTCTGCAGCTGCACCATCTGAAGAGGAAGTAGGGCTCTGACATGAGGAGCAAGTTCCTTGGTTGTTCCTCAGGCTGGTGAAGCTATGTTGGTTTGACAATGACACACGTTAAAACTATGTCAGAGCCCTCAGGTGGGGCAGTGCTGTCTCTCACATCTTCCAGGGCAGGTGCCAGCTTCTATTGTTCCATTTTGAAATCTCAACACTGGGCTAGAAAGTGTCTCTTGGTGTGACAAAGCAAATTGCTACACAGTTTGAACAACCTCTTCTCTTTCGGCTTTGTGCTTCAAATTGAAACGGGATAGGAGAAAATGGAGACTATTTTACTGCCAGTATTGCTGGATGAGTGGAACCTGTGAGTGCACTGAGAGGTGCTGTTGGCAAATGTCACAGTGTCTAAAGGGTAGGAGCTGAGGATTCATGCTTGGCAGCTTGGTTTATGACTGGTGACGGCCTGTAACATCAGTATGCTGATGCTATGTATTGTAGAACAGGAGCCCATGCAGGTACACTCAAGTTCACTAGGATTTTAGAAACTGTTGAGCCAACTACGTAGGACTGAAGAGTTCTGTTGGAATGCCCATCCTTCCTTGTCTCTATTGCCTCTGATACCTCTCTTGCTTTTTGGAGCTGGTTCAGTTATTTCTGCCATGCTCTGTAGACTACAGCAGTTGAAGGCTTGTGATGCACAGAAAAGTGAGGTCAAAGGCACTTTGTGGTTATAAGTCTGCTGCAGTAAAAGGCATCTTCCGCTGGTAAAGCTTTGTAGCCGTGGTTAGGATTGCTGGTTCAGCTTTTGATGAGACACCATCTTTCTTTACACATCCCAGGATAATTCTGGTAGGCACCTGTAGCAGACTGGATCTGATGCATTCTTATACTGATGGATTAGCATCTGAAGTTTGGATTTGGCATCTTAAATGACCGATTGATGGTGTCACTCATTTAAGGACTGCACAGCGACAGACCTACAAGGTCATATCTCATAATGCTGAGGCATCCAATTAAGAAGTTTCATGCTCATGGAAAACTGCTGCCCTACTCTGATGAAGTTACAGTACCAGCTGTTCTAGCATCTACCTAATGCTGTGCTTGTAAAGCTAAGGAGTGATTGCTTAAAGCCAATGACACCAATGCTGAAGGCAAGGAGAATGAATACCCGTTAAGAAAGCAATGCCAAGTGAAACCCTTGGGAACTATTTTAACCTCAGTCCCAGCAATTGCAAATACACCCCAGATGGGTCAGAATTAATTGGGCCCTCTTTCTGTTTTAAGCTGTATGACAGGATCTATTGCAGGGCGGCCAAGACCTACTGTTCATATGAAGTGCTGAGTCTGGTGGAGCATTTGTACCTGCACTGCGACTAGCTGGCTCACCACAAGGTGTGGTGCTAGCCAGCCAGCCCCAGAAGTCTCTTTCTGACATATGTCACACCTTCTGCCTTGGCATTGACACTGGGGAAAGTTGTTTCCTTATTAGACTTCATTATTTGAGTTCAATACCTACAGGAGTTCGTGCTGTCAGAGTGGATGCTTGAACTCATGGAGAGTAAGAAGGCTGATATCTAGTGTAGTTTAGGAGCCTGTGGCTCTTGAGATCTCAGCTCAGATTTTTAACGCCACGTTTGCCAGGGGCCACGTGATTCTGTTTCAATTCAGAATCTGGAATACAAAAACTTGAACCTTTCCTGGCCTAGGGCTTTTGCTTTAAGACAGTGTCAGGCTTATACACATTTTTCCATGGGACATACAGAAGCAGAAGCGGAAGAGACTCTCTAATATACATATGCAAGCAGTAAAGCAGCACCTGAGGGAAAACTTAAGGATAAGTGGTCCTAAAAAGCCAACCTATTGCATAGCTTTGTGTCAGAGTGTGGAAGTTAACTGTAGTTGTGAGACAAGTGACCAAGTAGTGACTTATGGCTGGGTTTAGTGTTCCAGCCATCATTAGGGGTAATGGACATTTGTAAGAAGTTTGGAGAAAGAGTGAAATGCAAAGTAATTAAGGTGTGTGGGCTAATGGCAGTATAGGTAATGATCCCATTCTCCCATTATTGCAGGCTTAAATGAGCGTTTAGTTGCCTTTTATTGCTTTTTCTCAGTGGGCTATTTTAGGGAGCATAACAAAATAGAATGAAAACGTGTTTCTAACCTATGTATAAGCTAAGTAAAGTATTAGAGAGCATGAGGGAGAGGTGGTAGTTTTAGTAGCATGCCTAATAATTCTTTTCCCAAGACTGTTTTCTGTCCAGTTAAAGTCAGTATATGTAGGGAAACACCATTGTAGGTGAGCAGTCTGAGATGTGGGGACTCACAGGTCCATATTTCCCTATTGCATCCCATCCTTCAGTTCTAAAGGAGAGGTGGAGCATCCACGGGTGAAAGAGGGGCACAGAGAGCAGATCAGACACCCCTGTGGGCTCTCTGTAGAGGTGCTTAGCATCACTGGTTTTGGGGTAATCAAGCTTCTTCGTAATTCAGGAATGGGCAGAGAGACTGCAGCTTGAACCTCGCATCATTTAATGCTCATCTGAGGCATTTAAATGGGGATGTAAAGAGTAGTATGAGCAATAAATAGGTGGCTTGTAACAGTATAGCGGGCTCAGTAAGGAGAGGATTGGGAGAGCTATAAAACCCACCAGGAGCAAGCTAAAAATATAGTTAGAAATGAGAGGGAGAGGAGGAAAATTTTTGAGCGCTGGCTTTAGAAACTATTTCAGATTACTGTAAAAGGGCTCTTCAAATATATTTTGAGGTAAGTGGAAAGTAACTGAGAAAATTACTGCATTGGAAGCAGAGAGATGGGTGAGGACGTGAAAGATCAGTCACAGGCTACCCCACTCGTCTCCCTTTGGAGGTGAAAGTGAAGGGGAGGTAAAACGGGGACTGTTCCCTTAGAGGTGGGGGGAACTTAGTGAGCTGCTACTGCAGGGGAGAGAAGGGGTGCTCAGTGACTTCTGCTAGGTGCCTCAGCTGTCTTGGTTCCCCCTCCTCCTTTGATTTTTGTCACAAACAAATATTTGTGGCATTGTTGTGAACAGCCTTAAGATGAGTTCAAGTTGTAGGAGCTGTGACTTTTCTACCATGGTACCTGTGTTGTGTTTCTGGCTTTGCTTTCTCTTTGGCTTGGATGGTAAAGGAACTAATCCAAAACTTCTCCCTAAAGTTAGCCTAAGTGTGAATCCCAAGACACTGACCTGGCTTTTGATTCATTCTTTATTCTTGCCCTTTCTTCTTCTCTTAATTTTAGCCAGAGCAAATGTGCTAAAATAAAATTATATATATATAAAAAAAGGGTTGGCAAAGGAAGTCTTGACTGTTAGCAATGTCCAGATAGATTTCCAGCCTGTGATGGCATAGTACTCACAAGAAGAGACATTTTTCTATCAAAGGGAAAACTCCTCCTTTGTTGCTGGTTATTTGGTCTTGAGAGAGTGGATGTAGCACAGTCCTGGCATGAGCTTTCTACTGTAGAAGAAATCTGGTGTCTTTTGGCTTCTTTTGCACTTCTGATACATTGGCTGGGGTTTTGTCCCCCAGAGATGTGTGGCATAGTACTCACAAGAAGAGACATTTTTCTATCAAAGGGAAAACTCCTCCTTTGTTGCTGGTTATTTGGTCTTGAGAGAGTGGATGTAGCACAGTCCTGGCATGAGCTTTCTACTGTAGAAGAAATCTGGTGTCTTTTGGCTTCTTTTGCACTTCTGATACATTGGCTGTTATATAGCCAGCCAGATTTGTGTGCCAAGAAATGCGGCAGAGGCTGTCGTGCTGCGTGGAATCATGGCCTGCCTTAGAAAGACGTTTTATCATATTCTTATTGGAGGGAAATAAACTGGCCTGCGCTGAAATTGAGTCCCAGCTGTGTCTCTGCCATATGTCAGTGCCCATTCTGGCTTCGGTACTCAGCATACTTGTAGTCCTCTAGCAGCCCAGCATTCAGGGTTCAGCTTGGCCTTGCCAAGATAAACTGAGGGATTTCTTTGGAGGGGAAAAACTTTACTTCCTTGACTGGTTGCTCTGTGAGGCAAGTAGAAAAGAGGAAAAATTACCTGTTCACTTTCCAGTACAGGGGTTTATAGCAGACACACTTTGAAAAGCAAATTGTACTGCAGATCTTTTGAGATTTTGCAGATCTTTATCATCCATCCTGTAGATGGGAAGGGCTGCTAGAGCAGGGAACTAACTGGAACTAAATTAATCTGTTTTTTTACTTACTGTTTTTGTTATTTTTTTTAACTGCTTTGTTAACTTCATGTGTGAAGTGCTTACTGAAGTGGGACCTGAACTAGTTAACTCTTCAAGTTGCTTTGACAAAATGCACAAAATTTAGCAATACCGCAGCGACAGCATGACCCTTTCTGTTAGCCATCTCCATCCTCAAAGCTCTTCAAGAGCCCTGCAGTCTCTCTGGAGCACAGGGAGCTCTGCTAAAGGTAAAGCTACTGGCGTGTAGGAAGGAGAAATCAGACTGCAAATGGTGTGTCTCACGTTGGGGTTGTGTATTGAAGAAACCTTTTAGTTGAGACTACAACTCAAATCATGAGATTTATCCGAGACTACATGGGGATACTTCTGAGAAGGGTGGAGACAAAAGGACCTCATGGAAGCTCTAGGTTTTTGTTTATTTGTTCCTTGGTTTTTTTGAAAGTGAAAATCTCTCCCAGCTAATCCCTGATTGAGCCAACTGGCCTTCTTTGTAGCCTGTAATTCACTTTTCACATTAAAAACAAAACTGAAAAGACAAGGTAGGCTGGCAGCTTAGGGATATGGTAACACCGCTGCTGGACATGTAAGCAAGAATAATTGCTTCTAGAATGCTCAACAAAACAACCACTTAATTAAGAATAATAAATCAAGTAAGGGAGGGAAACATTTGAACATCTATCCCTTGCTATAGCTGAACTTGCAGGCAGGTTATGGTTGCTCAGGGACATTCTTCTGCATTACTTGAACACTGTGTAGGGGCTCTAATAGTACAATGGGGGCTTCTGTTCAACAGAAATTATTTCTGTGCTGGTCTGGTGTGTAGAAGGGCAGGTGATCTGTGGTGGGAGGAAAGACATGCAGATTCCTGTCAAGTACTATAGTGAGAGTGAGGCTCTAAAGGTCACAGTGATTGCTCTGGATTTTGGCCATCAGGAGTTAGATGGATCTTAACTTCTCTGGTCATTCCACTGTTGTGGACTTTGCTTCCTGAAGGATTCTCCCAGGCTATGTTTGCAGTTGGGACTGCGGTTCAGGTGATTACCTCAACTTGTACCAATGAGTGGTAGGACTTGCTTGAACTGGAGTTGATTTTTGGGTGGACTCAAATATGTGGCCTGCTGGGGGAAGGGATCCATCTCTTGAAACCAAGGCTGAGAGAAACTGGTTCCTACAGTCAGTCTCCCATGTTGGCAGTGTGGGCTGGGTTTTCAGCAGGCTTTAGAAAGGGCAGAGGTCCTGTCCAAATTCCAGTCAGAGGCACCCAGGTGACCTCTGTGCTTTGTAATGCTTTGAGTGTCTCGCAGCTCTCTGTAATGAGAGGCTTAGTGAGATTAGGGAGCTCCCTAATCTCACTATATTTACTATGTTTATAGCTGGGGAGGGAGGGGATTTTGGTGTTGCTGACTATCCCATCCAATGATGTGGGAAGGTTCAGAAAATGATGGCTAAACCTTTTGAGAATGACTGGATGTTTGACATTAATGAGGAAAAAATGCAAGGCTAAAAGCATCCCAGATGCACAGAATTCAATTACTTGGCAGTGCAGTTTGATTTCTAGTGTATTTTGTAGTACATTAGTAATTGATCTGTGCAGTATTTGTAACTGCAGAGGAGCTCTAGATGAACGTTTGCCATGATTGTTACAAAATGTTCAATGCTGGGAATGAAATTTTTCCTTGCTGTGATTGTTCATCTGATTTATGGTTAATGGAAAGTAGCTCTCCTGCTCCTTTCTACAGCAAATTGATCTTGATTCTTCTTTAAAAAATCACAGTAAGAGGAATTGTTCTGTAAAAAAAAAAACCCCCAATATGAAGTTAAATTAGGGTGAGAGCTGCTGCCTGGTGGACACGCTTGGCACATCTCCTGTGGTGCAGACCATTGGGGTTTTTGCACTGGTGGTCACTCTGTGACTGCAGCTCTGTGCCCAGGAGGCAGCTGCACTTGCATTCCAGAAGTGGAAGTTTCTCAGGACCCAAAAGGTTCATCGTCCAAATTCTTTTAAACCCAGAAATTCATTGGCAAATCTATTTCCACCTTTGCTTACTCCGTCTCTTCCCCTGCATGTCATCAGTGATCCTGCTGTCTGAAGGAATCTCCCAACTCATTCTGTCATTTCTGTTGTGCATATACTTGTTATTCTTTTGGTAGAAGGTGGAGTTCCCAGGTGGTTTCCCATCCAATTCCTGACAGGCTAAGAAAGGTTTAGTTTCCAAATGAGGCAAAAGAGGGTGTGTTTAGTCTGGTGTGTGCAAAGACCCAGCTGTGCTACTGAATCTCTTAATGACTTTTGTAAAAGTCACTCTCTGTGTCCCATTTTCTGCAGCTGTAAAATAGTGATTAAGCCTGTAAGGGATTCCACAGTTAGTGTGGGACTCAGTTCTGCTAAACACTCTCTGAAAGAGGTGCAGTTTTATGGGAAGTTTTCCTCTAGGCTGCTTATTCCATATCTACCTCTTCCAGGACAATTTATACCTATCCCTGAGGTAACTGAGACCACAAGTGTCTGTCTGATCTGTGAGTTCCTCTCTTCTTGTGTCCTACAGCAGAATGGACTGGTATTTTGAGTTTTGCCATCTGACACCAGTCCAACTAAGCATACACTTATTTTTAGTGGCTTGGCTGTACAGTTGCAACAGAAGTTAAGTACCTATCAAAGGTCACAACTGGATGAGAGCCAGCGTACTCAGCAGCAAGCCTTGAGCAAACGTTGAGGAGAGAGGTGATCCTTTCCCTACAGAGTTATGATATTGGTTAATTGCAAGATATAATGGGTAGAAGAAATTAACAAAGTGATATGGAAGGGTGATCCCACAGTAATAGCAGCACATGCTCTGCTTGTGGTGAGGTTTGCCAGCTGCCTTGCCCTCATTAGGAGCACAATGTTTCCTCAGTGTTAGAAAGAAAAAGAGCATCAGGAGACTAATAAAAGAGACAGTATCTTGGCAGCTGGGAATGGGAGAGGGGCAGGAATACTTACAATGTGAGGCATGAAAGGCAGGTGTCCTAGGTGTTACCTGTATAAACATCAAGCCTTTTCCTCCTGTATTTGAGTCTCTTCATGTGCCTTTCTCTAGGTGCAGACAGCGAACTTGGTGCTGGAAGATGGGACGAAGATGAAGGGCTATTCTTTTGGCTATCCATCCTCCACAGCAGGGGAAGTCGTATTCAACACTGGTCTTTCTGGGTAAGGCAAAAGCAAATGAGATATAAGCAACAAAACTTCTCTGGGAGCTTGTTAAAGTGTGAAAGCTGCTTTTTCCAAGCTCGTAGGGTCCTGATCCAAGCATGTAGTGTTCTGTATAAGAAAACACTGTGGTCCAGGGATACAGAGAGAGAGATAGTTAATTAAGAGACTTCAGGCAGTCCTCTTATGTCGTAGCATTTGTGGTGATGAGTGACTTTAAAGACTGATATAAAACTAACCATGATAGTGAGGTATGTAGGGATCCAATCACTTCCCATTGAAATGGAGCCATTGCTGAGTCAGAGCAGAGGACCTGTCTTTGTTCTCCCTCCAGTGCCCTGATCAAATATAGAGGTTTGAAACATCTGCAGCCTTCTGGGTAATGGAACTTGGCTTCTGAGTGCAAAATTTTTAAATCCCGAGGTTCCCAAGTTGATCACCTATATGACCCATCCCTTATGACATTTGTTTGCTCATACCACAGTTAAGGATGCATTTAAACTCTGTGCCCTTTCCAGCTAAAGGGTAGGATCAGATTCATGCCTATCCTAGCATGACTGTCTGTCCTCTTGAGTGGTAGAAGCCAGTGGCTGACTTAGGATGGCAGCCAAATGCTGCCGGTGCTTTTGTTGAACTGCTTGAGCAGAGGAAATCTGCCCAGAGGAATGAGGCTTTTGGTTAGGAAGGGGACATGTCCCTGGGGAGGTGAGACAGCTCTGAGGTTGTTGGTGCTTGAGCTTTTTCTGCAGTCATTCATAGCTGTCTTTGTCCAGCTGCCTTGCATTGCCCAAATTCTGCTCTCCTTTGGAGAAACCAGTACTCACAGAATGAGTTTTTAAATGATGTCATTGGTGAGAATGTTAAATTGCTGTGGAGGGGAATCTGTTTGCAAAGTTTTGCATTAGGAGGCAATTATTTAAGTATTTTGACAGCACTAATTACTGGCTGTGTTAATATACCTGCCAACAAGCAACTGTTTAATATAGATCAGAATGATGGAGGGCACCAGAGTTCTCTTCTCAGTGATAGATTATGGGCAATAAATCTTGTCGCATCACAAAAGTCAAGGAGGACCTGATGGATTAATTTCCTCTCCACATGTTACATTGGCAGCAGAAGCTGTGTTTGCTCATTTTCTAGTGATTTGAAGAGGATGCCTGTGAAAGAGAGATGTCTTCTGTGCTGGGGAGCATATGGGCATGGAGGAAACATTCAAAATGTAAGGTTGTATCTTCAGAGCACTGTCCAGGAACATGACCTTGATTGATTGATTTGGAGAAGAGGAAGATAAGAGTTTGCAGCATTGTTGCAGATTGTAAAAATGACAGATTTGCTACCAGTCCAGGAATTGCTGTCCAGTGAAAGAAACCTTGTAGCTCTGTCTAGTGCTCCTGAGCACAGAGGTCAAGGCCTTAAGTATCCAGAGGAACCCAGCTACCTTTTTTCATTGACAGAGTAAGAGGCTAAGTGCCTGTGTGAAGGAGGTGCCCAGGGTTGGGGCCTTTTACAGACTGTCTGGGCACATAGCAATTTGTCAGTATAAGGAGCACGAGGCTAGTATGGGGTGATTTTGCCATGGCTGCTGTTAAGCCTCAGACCATTGCTTTCTGCGAAGTGGGTGTTTCTGGATGCTGAGTGGGGTCAGCTCTGTACTGGGATGATTAATGTGCTGCTCTGCACCTTGTGTCCTCATCTGGACTCCCACGTTCTGATTCATGTCAGAACTGGGAGGCAAAGTACTTTATGTGCATACAGCTTTCAAGCTTGAAGTAGCTAAAGCTGCCTGAAATGTTGTCATATTACTCTGGAATAGAGGGCAGAGAGCACTGTTTTGGGGGTGGAATGTTGAATTTTCATTAGAAAAGCATGAGGATGAACTTTTCAGAAACATTTGCTCAAAAAAAAAGAATCCTAGTGTTGCAGCCATCTGTTTGGTATAGGAACAAAAAGGAAGAGAGGAGATTTCCAATTAAGAAAGAAGAAGAATTACAACCCATAAAATGTTCCCATGTTTGAAACAGCTCAGTAAATGCATTTGTCTCCAATAAGTCTGTGTGTGTTTCCCATGATATTCTAGCGAGAGAACTGATTGACAGGAATTTACTGAAATCAGGCAGGCCTTTGGGCAGGCACAGCAAGGATTAGACCTTGCAGCATCTTTGGAGCTCATGTTCCCATCTGCTCCTCTGTGCTCCACAAGGCATTGTGCCTGCTTAAAGGGCATTGAGTCTCAGTGCAGAGCTTTGCCTTTATACTCCAGCCAAACCCAATGGCTCTCTGTCCTTGTTTGCTGATTACAAATAACATGCAAAGGTTAATTACATTAGCTTTGTCATTAACAAAGAGTCTTTTGGAAGCATAACCAATTGACTCGGAAGGAGAAAGCAATGCCAAATGTGCACGTGCCATGTACTTACTGCAGTTCTGTGATCACACTGCACTTTGTGTGGTTGTTTACCTGCAGCAGGAAGTATAGATTTGAACAGCAGGAGAGGCTTACCTGAAAATACTTCATGGCCATTGTTCATTTGACATGTCATTTCTCAGAGCTGGCTGGTGTGCTGCATTGTCTATATCTGCCTGCAACCATTCCGGGTTTTGTGAAGAGTTTCTCAATGTTTGACAATTAATCTTCTGGCAGTAAGTCTGATGTTCCATAAAAATGTCTCTTGTGACTTGCTGATATCTGGTAGATGGCTGGAGTTGCCAATTATGTATTGTTTAAACAATAATGACAATAGTAAATTATATTTTGTATAGGGCAGATTCATCCTGAAGTGTCTTTATGCATTTGGCTAAATATTTGTGTGGATAACTTCATCTAATGCTAAATTACAGCTGCTTTTGATTTGAAAGACAGCAATTGTTTAATGGATTGCTGCAACAGTATGCTACGGTATAAGGGAGAAAGTGAAGGACTGCCTATTAATTTGAAGCTGAAGAATAGGAGCACGGGCATGTAGATCATGTTTACTCTGTTCCGCTCTTTGGGGTTAAAGGTGAGACTGGATCTTCTGGATCCAGAACTGATACTTTGCAAAAATCCTAGGTTTGATCTTCCACTGCAGAACATTCCATCACGCTTTTAGATCTGTCCTTGCTGAGGAGAATATTCAGGCAGGTGCTTGTACAAAGTTGCTGTTCCTGGGGCTTCTGCCTGGGCTAAAGATATAAGGACATTCTCTGGGGCCTTGTGACCAGGGTGGACTGCTGAATCCTAAAGCATTGCCTTCAACTTGCCTTCTTCGAGATACACAAACCACCTTCCAAGCACTTAGGAGTCTTGTCAGGTGAAATGTATGGTGTCCTGTGGGTGGGAACCTGGAGATTCCCTAGAAGAGAGGCCAGGCCTCTGCTGGAAGAAGCTGCAGAAGTGGTACCGGGGCAGGGTTTGTTGACAGAGCAGGTAGCAGAGAAGAACCCAGAGTAGTAGTGAGGAATCACAAGGATGATTCACAGCTGCTTCCCTGATCCCCAGACAAAAAGATAGGCATAGATTTGTCTACCTGCTTCCCCACAGAAAGAGCAGTTACAGCCCTGAACATCTCAAGACCTGCAAGCTCCAGACTGGGGAAGGGACCAAGTCTGGGCAAACAGCTCTTGTTGTCTATCGGCTTTTCAGTTTGAGCTTTCTATTGCCACTGAGAGGAGCAAGTTCTTACACCATATGGAGGGGAGGGCACAGCAATGACAAAGCACTGCCCACATGGTGTGCCCAGGGAATGACCAAGCCCAAGCTGTTATCTGTGGGTCAAGTGATATGCCATGCACTTACTGCAGTTCTGTGATCGCTCTGAACTTTGTGTAGTTGTTTACCTTATGTTAAATCACAAGGAGTGCGAGTTTGTAATAGTTCCTGTGCTTTTCTTAAATGAAACATGAGAAGCCAAAGCCTTTCCTTGTTCTCAGTGCCTAATGGTTAATCACAGATGGCAAAGTCAGGGCAGATTCACAGATGTGTTTGCTTTTATACTGAGAATGCTTTTACATGAATACCATTTCTGTCTTTTTGTCATATGGGAATTCAGACCTGTCTTGTTTTCACCAGCTCTTTGGTTTTCCTTTCAACTCCAGACCAATGTACTTTTCTTCCATTGCTTCTTCATCTAGATACACCGAAGCCTTGACAGATCCCAGCTACAAAGGACAGATTCTTACACTGGCTAACCCCATAGTTGGGAACAGTGGAGTGCCTGACACGGCTGCTTTGGATGAAATGGGCCTCAGGAGGTTTCTGGAGTCTGACGGGATCAAGGTAACAGTGGGAGACACAGAGCTGATCAAAGGGTGGTGCTAGCAGCCTGAATGTGTGTGTGTGCATGCAAAAGAGTTTACAAATGCATAACCTCACAGAAGTTAGAAGGAATCAATGATACTCAGCCTTTCTTTTTCTTCTTCTGGATATTGTCCTTTGGAGGAGTGGTGGCAAAAGATAATCCATCTTGCTTTCTGTACCAGGCCATGTGCTGTCTGAAAGCGGTGTATCTCTCATCAGTGATAGACATGCTACAGTTTTTGTGAACTGCTGTCCTGGGTGGCTTTTTATCCACATTCCATTCTGCTTCATATTTATCTGTTTTTGCCCAGGACTGGTTGCCACAGAGAGATCAAATGCCAGTGAGAATGAGAAGTTTCTGTGTGCTGAGACTTTTTCTCTATATGCCTGTACTACCACAAACAGGGGAGGTGACAGTTGTGTGGAGAAGGCCGTACGTACTAGTGCAGAAACCATTATTTACACTGTGATGACAGGGGATATTGGCTAGGAGTAGGGCTGTGTCCATGCAGTGGTGGCAGTACTGAAAAATGAAACAAAACCATGTAATTGCAGAACCAGTGAAATGCTTTATCTGTCCTGAGGTGAAATGACTCCTTTATAAGCTATCTATCTCCACTGGAAAATGGAGCTGACTTTTGAAATGAAATGTCACTTAGAAGTGAAAAGCTTTCTTAAACAAAAAATGGATCAAAATAAAACATTTTGTCTTGACTTAAATTTCCATTTTCTTTCTCACGAGAAGTGTTTTCTTAGTTCAATGCAATTTGCAGCTTTAGTTACCTGGAAGCCACATAATTCTATGAATTTTCTATGAATTTTCTAAGTAAAAGGGCCCAGATACAATCATGGTAGAGCATGAAGTCTTTATCCTTTGCCAGGTACCTGTTCTGTGCACTCCCCTGTGGAGACTCAGTTTTGCTATCTTTTTGTTATATAAGAGCAACCATACCATGTCTGCCTAGCCTTGTGTCCTGTCCGTGATATGGTTTGCAGTGGATGAACAGTGAAAACTCAGAAAGTATAGGGCAAGTACAGAGTGATCCTTCAGTGCAAAATGACATTTCTTCTCTCTGCAGGTTTCAGGTTTGCTGGTGCTAGATTACAGCAATGAGTACAGCCACTGGCAGGCTGCTAGGAGCCTGGGAGAGTGGTTGCAGGAAGAACAGGTGAGCAATCTAGGGATAACTATGTTATGAGAATGGACCTGTATGTATGGGAACAGGGGAAAGAACTCCTGGCTTTGAGCTGGTAACCACTCTTCTCCATGGACACATGCAGATGTCTTCACCAGTCTGTACTGTGCTCATTCTGTGTTCCTTAGTTCTCTGATTCTTCATCCATTTCTCTTTTTCAGGGTGCAATGGTATTTCCAAGGTCTGTCCAGAAGGAATGTTAATTAAATGGGGATGTTTGCTTCTCCATAAAAATGATACACATTATATTCTATTCTCTCATCAAATGTTTCTGTAGTGCTGCTCCTAGAGGTCGTAACCTCAAGAGATGTTACCTGCCAGAACCCCACTGACTTGAAGCCGTGGGAGTCAAGGATGTGTCAGTAGACTGCTACTGACTTGTGATGGCTGGGAGGGAGAGGTGTTCATAAGTAAGGCAAAATGGGACTCAGAAATGAGACAGATATTTGCCACATGAGCTTTTTATTTTGTGCTTTTTAGTGCAGAATCTATATTTGAAGAACTAAGCTATTTATGAGTGTGAATAGGGAGGAGAAGTGAAGAACTGGAAGAGAGGCAACCTTGGAAATAGTGCTGCTAAGAGCCAGAGCTCCTTAAACAAGGACATGTTCTTCTCAGCAAAGAGGTCTGGCTGCTGTCTTCCTCTGTCTTAGCTGCTTGTTCTCCAACTTATCCTTCTCTTGTGTTTTCTTCAGGTGCCTGCACTGTATGGGATTGATACCAGAATGCTGTCCAAATTAATTCGTGACAAGGTATGATCTGCTTCCCTTGATCCAGTTGCATTAACCTTGCTATTGCTAGGCCCTTTTTCTAACAGTGCAGCAAACCTGGGGTAGCAATGCTACTGCTGGGCTGCCTTGACCTCAGATGCTGCTCAGGTCCCCATGCTCTTCCAAAGGCTCTGTGTCTTCTGTACAGATGAGGCAATGCTCTGATCCTAGGGAGGCCCCTCTTCTTGGCTCTGCTCTGGGTTTCCTGTTCTACATAAGTGAACCAGCAGAAGCTGATGTAAATGAAAGGCCTCAGGTAGCTGTGTCAGACTAGTGTGCCAGACACAACAGGTAGCGATGTCAACTACGTGTTGCCTCAGATAGAGCGAGCAACAACTCTGTGAGATATTGTGGATATTAGTTCACAGGCAGCACCACCTTTGGTCAGTGGAAATTCTCCTGCTCCTCAGAGACAAAGGAATACCTACAATAACCTAAGCTGGATTCCTAACTCAGGCTGGTTTTTTTTGGCTGAAGCCTGTTACTATTTTTAATAGTCATTACTCTTCTCTGGTTTCCAAGAGCTGACAATTGAAGGACATGAGCAGGATTATGTTACCCAATGGAGGTTAATGTTAAGGTACATTTCACACTGCCTAAAACAGTGATCAAAGCCAGTCTGAATGTAAATGCGCCTTGGAGGCTCTTCTTTTGTAATGGATTATTTGAAGCTGCTCTTTTCTTTAGGTGATCAATTTGCAGTCTGCAGTCCAAGCCCCACACCCCCTTTCATTCCACAGAGCAAAATATGAATGACCCAGCTTGAATAGAGGAATATTTGTAGAAATGAATTCTTATGGGAAGATAGGGTGTTGTCCTGCTCTTATAGACAGCAGACAAGTGCAGTTTAATACAATAGAAAATGGCAATACATTTTCTACTTTCTTGAGACACACTGTTTAATGGATCAGCATTCCTTTCATCCAAAGTAAATATGCTTTCAATGTTTATCCTGTAACTTAGCAGTGTATGGCAGTAATGCCGATTATACTGGGACTCTGAGTGGTATTGGTTTATGGCTTTTAAAATAGTGCATAATGTAACCTTTTCTCCCAGTTTTCTCAGGTTGAAAAAAATAGCTTATTATTTCGCTCCACGTATATTTACAAATTGGGGGTGAGAACAGGGCTTCATTATGATAAATGCAGAAATGAGCAGTGACTTGTTAAATTGGACTAAAGGTAAATGCAGGGCACCATTTGGTTGAATAATCTGGGAGCAAGGTAAGACACAAGGTTCCTGTTTGAGAGCAATGGCTTTAGGGCTTTGTCATCAGTGTTTATGGGACTGACTGCATGGTGGCACTCAGCAGTTTCTGTGGTTCCCAAGAACCTGACTTGTTTAAGATGATGCTGACCTTTTCAGCTCTGCTCCACGCAAAGCAGCCCGGAGTAGCTTTTGGTGGAAGGTGCTACTCAAGATGAGATAGGATGTCAGCCACTGTTAAGAGCAAAACTCTGTCTTTAAAACTTACCCTTAGTAGTGCGCATGGCAATGTAAGATGCTGGCTCTTTCTTGCCCTAGGAAAATGGCAAGGATACTTCAGGTATGGCCAACCATGGAGGTATCTCACAGAAATATCGCTAAACCCAATGAGCAGTCCTGGTGCGCATGCTGGTCTGATATCCACAGGGCGAGCTGAGTTTAACATGTTTTATCATGAAAATGTTATGTGTTAAAAGTTACAACAAAACATTGACTTCCTCTGTTTTACTTTCCCCTTCCATCCTTGAAAAGTTCTGTATTGCGCACCCTGTCCCCATCCTGAGAAGAGGTTAACCCTAGGTTAATCCCACTTATTCCAGGAGTGGGGCAAAGCCAAACCAGGGATTTTTCCACTGAGAACTTTAATGAGCAGAAGGTGGAGAAGGATATGCTGCTGGCAGAGCAAGAGTGTCCTAGTTTCTGTGAGGTGGTAACAGCAATAAAGAGTAGCGCTTGCTGGAGGTGATTTTTTTTTTTAACAGCTTATTTGGAAAACAGCTGTGCTGACCTGCCTCCTACATAGCTTTTCCTTACCCCAGCTCTGCCGCCTTGTAGCTATCCACAGGAGGTGGCTGCGGACCTCACAGTGGGTTTCCAAAACCAAAAAGCTTCAAACTGCTTTGTGGATTACTCCCAGATCTACACAACAGTTATTTGGGGATCTGAATCCTGATCCTCTTGGAAGGCAACCCATTTTACTGTCACTAGACAGCTTGCCAAACTGCCTATTAACAAATTTTACTGCTGACAATGCCTTTCCCCTGAATGAAGGATTTTAAACAGATTTTTGGTACCGAGGTAGGCTCATAAAGTTCTGAAGATGCTAGGAATGGTTATAAGCCGCCAAGAAACCATCTCTAAACAGCTGTTCCAGTTGCTGTGCCTGTCAGCACCTTGTCCCAGTGTTCACAGCTTCTCCTTTGCTCATGCTTTGTTGTTTACTGGTGTATTTCCACAGGGTACGGTACTTGGGAAGATTGAATTTGAAGGTCAACCCATGGAGTTTGCAGACCCAAATAAGCAAAACTTAATTGCAGAAGTTTCAACAAAGGTGAGAAGTTCTTCTGTAGTCCCAGGGCTGTACGCTCCAGGTAGTAACTGCTCCCCATTTGCTCTAGGGATCATCCAGTCTTTCTGAACAAACAATTTGGGTTCCTTTTCTAAACCATACACGTTTCCAGACCTTTGAAGGACTGTCATCTCAACACCACTGCGTAGAATCCCCATGGCTCCTTAGGTGCAGTGTTGAAGATGTAAAATGAGGTGTGTTGAGCTGGATGTAGTCTGAACAGTACTCTGATCAGAGGATTGTGTGTTACAAAGACAGGATTGAGAAGTACTGGGGATACAGTTAGACTTAGCATATGGTGGACACTTTCAAACATAAGAAGAATTAAAAAAAATGGTTGCTTTCCTTAAATAAATTTCAGGAAAGCTCACAATAACATTTGATAATCTGTGTTCAGGCATAATTTTGTTGAGGTCATTCCAGAAGATATTCTAGATTTCAAAAAAAGACCAAGTTAGGAATCCCCTGGATCTAATATTACTGGCATTAGCTGCTTTGTCTATAGATATGTACAGAACAGCCGTTAAGTTTGTAAGCTGGGCATGCAAACTATGTTCAACCGCAAGCTGAAAAGAACATTACAAATCACGAGGATGTAGCGAACCAGGCCCATACTAAAAATAGTAACTATTCTTGTTCCAATGCAAGGGCTAATGTCTTAAGTTGTGGACCCTTTGGGGATTTAATTGTGGGATAAAGAATGCCTTGGGTGCTTAATCCCATTGACTGAAGTGAGAACTGAGTGTATTTGTCCCTTCTACAAATTCCGTGCTTACTATGGTGTTTGCAGCTCCTTCAAGATCAGTGAGGCTCTGGAAGAGCTGTGCAAATAGTTGCTTGTGTACTGTTCTGCACGCAAGCTGGTGTGTTAGTGGCATGAGTGTGAAGCAATCCTGAACAGACTGATCGGTGAGCAAGTGGGAATTTGAAGCGCAGTCTCCATCCAGGCTTGATTTACAGTATTAACTGGTTACCTGGGATGCCACTGGCGTACATAGGCCGCCTTGAAATTATCACCTTCGGGGATCTCACCAACTCATGCCAATGCCTCCACTGTATTTTGAGTCAGGGCCTTGTTGCTACACAGAAGGATGGCGATTGCTTATTGAGGTTGTGATCTGTGATTGCAAGATGCAGGTGGAGCCATTTTGAGCAGTAACTCAGAAATAGGTAAGGTTGCTGATGCTAAACTCTGCAATTACTAAGACAGAATTACTGTAAAGATGCTGCAAATAGCTTCTAAAAGGGAGATATAATAAGATCAACGGAGCTTTGGTGGTCTCATTATGTTTATAGCTTCATTTTATAGACTTAAAAAGCACAACACAGATAAAGCTGAAAATGAAGTAAGCTGTTCAATGTTGGTAATTACTGGACATGGTAATCTACTTGTTGCCAAACAGCTATTTTCATGTAAATCAGGATACAGTAAGATCAGGAATCTGCTTATCAATTGTACATTAGGAGTGATTGATTTCCTGCCCCCCCCCCCCCCCTCCCCCCCCCTGCTTTCTCTCTTA